CACACACCGATGGGCGACTTCACGATTTCCAACTTTTATCGGTTTAACAGTCGGCGAGTACAAAGAGGAGGGATTCACCAAAGTTAATCCATTTCACCCAAAGGACCAAACGCACCAAACTTCATGACAATCCAACCAATCGATGCCAAGAACCAAAAACTACGTCAGCTTTTTAGTGTCGGCAGGATTCATCCTCTGATAACCACGAATGTTTGTCTACAAATCCATCCGTTCGCTGTCGAAGATAAAAGCTGATTCTGAGCGTTTCAAATCCGAGCGTGAGACTGATGCAGCAAAGTTGGAGACACACTCATGACAAATTACACTCCTGGTGTCGCTGCAGGTGGGCAGCTGGCACCAGCTGATTACCGTCACCTCTCAGTCAAACCCTAGACAGTGAATGTTCAAGATATTTCTGCCATGCGCTCATAACATCATCACCTGACGGCAGGCCTGCCCGACTCGTCTTTTACGTGTCCCTCTGGCATCATGTGTGCCGATACTCCAGGTAAAAAACAAAAAGGCACACCTGTGTGCGTGGCGCGGTGTGTCCCCACCCAGCCAGCAACTCAACACCGGACAGAGGAGTGTCTGACGAAGCTGGAGACTAAGGCTTTGTCTTCTCGCCTCATGGCCCCACAGGCGTGACACTCGGATCACAAGGAATGTCTGAGAGGACTCTTTACATATTCTGCTTGTTCGTAATACATGCGGCGGAATATTAAAGATGGTCTGGGTGTCTTTTACACAGTCAACTTCACCGACTACGAGACAGTGGATAGAAGAAAGCAGCCACCTCCAGAATGTCTTATGGAAAAATCCTTCACATTTAGCGTGGACGTGAAGCAGGTTTGCAATCGTCTCAAGAACAAACTGTGTGCAGCAATCTGCCTGCAATCATGTGTACATATATATCCATCATATTAAAGGCTCAGACAGTTTGGGAGTGTAAACATTGCAACAGCGTAAATCAATAAATCAGAACGCAGGTCAACACCAGATCATGCAGGTTGTTTTAGCTACCAGGTGGTCTGTGGCATCTAAAACCAAAGACTACAATAGAATATGCAAAAAAAAGTAAGGAAAGACCACACTCAGGAGAGACAATCCAGGAAGAAGCATTAAAAAGTGTGGCGATCAAACGAAAATCCTCATAAATAAACTCACCCTGCGTTTCAGAGGAAAACAATCTTCACTGCGACACCGTGGTGTGTGTCTGAGAGCGTCCCAGAAGAGCACTAAGTTTAGTCTCCATGCAATCTTCCCAGGCAGCGCTGCTACGAGTGACTCAGCTCAGCAAAGAGACTCGCAGAGCAGCCCGGGACTCCTCCCTCACTCTCGCTCTCACACCCCTTATTTAAGTGGCTTTTAAAAAGAACAAAGTGAAACACACCAGAGGCTCACGACACACAACCGTGGGCCTCTGAGCTGCAGGTTTAGACTTTAAACAACCACAAACCTACAGTGAGAGAAGATCCTATCTGCCACCACAACTATATCCCTCTCTTTATTGTCAGCAGGTATAAAACAGAGGCCTTGCAGGTACGACATGATTACACCTCCTTCCTCTTATTTGCTTAATCAGATCACAAATGAGGGAAACAAATGAACCAGAGCGTCGGTATGAGCTTATATAACTGCACTTCTGGTTCTGCCTGGTATCGGTCAATTAGTCTGATCAATGATTGACCAACACAAAGCTGCCGGGCGTGTTTCACACCAACGCTATCATCTAATAAACAGGCTAAAATCTAAAATGAACCCCCACAGCACTGAATCTATTGTTCCTCCTGAGACGCATTACAAATATTTAATGCAAATAATAAAAAACAACTAAATCGAGCCACACGAGTTGTGAAACTTGCATCCAGTAAAATCCACAAACAACAATCGAGTTTACATGAAACCTATAAGAAAACAAAACAAAGCTCCCAAGAACAGGTTATTTATGAGAACGAACGACTTGTACCTTTTGCAGAAGTCGGTACACGGAACTGCAACTCAGACTTCTCCATGTTGTTTATCTGTGCTGCAGAGCTGCTCCCCGACTCTGACAGTCATGCTGCAAGGTGCTCGCTCTTTTGAGTTATTACTAAACTACAGCGTTATATATCAACTTTGAAGCATCACATGGCGAAACAAAAAAAACAAAAAAGAACCCACTCAAAGGCTTAATTTAAGTCATGCTGACGGCAATGATGTGACAGAAAGAGTTCTTGTCATCTTGCTCTCTGGGAATAAGTAGAAGGTGTGCATGTGTGTGCTTGCCTGTGTGAGACATACACTCCGGTGATGTGCGAGCAGGATTAGAAGGAATGACAGGTATTATTTTGCTTGAACAGGAAACCAGTCGGACCAGCAGAAATTCCATTCGCAGAATTCCCGTGTCAATAATTCCAGGATGGAGGTATTTAAAGCGCAGCTCGGCTTACGAGCATGTTTTACAAGAACTGAAACACAAAAAAAAAAAACACTTTGCTTTAAGTGCAAAAGTGTAATCTTCCCACAGTGAAAGAACCCTCAACGGTTGTGCAAGAACGACCAAAACTGCACTCTCATGTCACATCTCAGTGGTGCAACGATAAGAGAAGCAGATAGCCGAGTTCTGCAGATGTGTGCAGCCTTGTTTCTGGCAGGTTTCACTGGTGTCTTATATACTACAGACAGGATTAACCGATTACTGCCACTGATATCTGACCTCCGAACCACGAGCTCACCAACCTACACTCACTTTTTATTTTTTTTTTACAAAATCCAGGTCAGTAATCTGATTTGTTTTATTTTACTGTGACTTTGGATTTAATTATTTCACACACAAGCTCCCGTCTCTGAGGGAATATCTTTCGCTTTAATCCCTCCGCTCTGTTGTCGACGCAATTCTTTCTCAGCTGGACGTCTTTATCAAACGTAAAAACACATAGAAGGCCGGGAAATCTCCGGCTGATATCTAGCCGTATTAACCTGGTTCTTTCACCTCAATTACAGAAATCTCGAGCTTAAGAAGAGAGACGAGCAGAACCAGGTTACTCTGCTGTACCGGTGACGTTTCTGCAGGATCCTCCCAGTTCAGTGCTCTGCTGACACAGTTAAAGTGGGAAAAACAGGGACACGTAAGATACTGGGACGCACTAACGGCTGCTTCCCTCCGTGCTGACATAGTCACACGTGTGCAAACGCACACACACACACACAAATCCCAGTTTCTAACCATTTCTGGTGCCCTAAATCACTGAACGAGATTACAGAGTGTGTAGCTACAGTGCACGTCTGGTTGTACCCTGATTCATTGTGCCCATCGTGTTGGCACATCCTGTGTGTGTGTGTGTGTGTGTGTGTGTGAGACAGACAAAGTGACAGATAACCATTACCACTGGGCAAGGGGGATTAGCCGTTTCTGTTCAACTACCCAGACTTTCTTCAGATTAACCCTCCCTCATCCTCTAATCCGAAGGCCAGCGCGAGATTAGAACCCCAGTCTGCTTTGAAACAGGAAGCATTTTGGGAGGGGACACAAAACCGGCGGGACAATGTGATGAAGAAGAGGATGGAGGGGACGGGCAAATGGAGAGAAACCTGCAGAAGTTGCGGTAAAAGCAGAAGACGGAAGGTAAAACAGATGAAACAAGAGAACAGACAAACACCGAGAAAGCAGAAGATGAAAAGGCAGATGGAAGAAGGGTGAGAGGATAGAGGGCTCTGCAGGAGAGAATTAGATGGTAGGGCGAAAAGAGAAAAGGTGAAAAATAGGAAGACACAGGGGGCTGGAGGAGAGTACCCATTCATCAAACAGAAGCAGACCATGAGCTATGCACACACACACAAGTTAGGCACCAAAATAGAGCCGAGACCTGCAGCTTTCTTCACACCCCTGCATAGCAGAGAACTGCAGGGAGGATGGTTCATTGTGCCCTTCACAGCTTCATCCTGCATCCTCGCCGTGCATATTAACGTTCACTTCGCTGTGGCCGAATTGTTTGGAAGAATTACAGGATCCTGCTACATTTCATCGAGTTAGAAGGTACAGAAGCTCCTGCATGCTATTGATTTGGGATGCAAATTTGTGTGACTCTCCTGCTGTGAATCAGAGGTGGTGACTGACAGGTAACAAAGCTTTGCATCTTAATGGAGGCTTGCGGCAGCGCTGTACCTCCCACACGTCACAAAATGAAGAACAAGAAGACGTGCACGGAGGGACGGCTCCAACACCGGCACCGACACACAACAAACAACAGGAAATCAGCGTCCTTGTCACATGTGGAGGTAAAACGTGAATATCTGCACAACCTTCAACCCTCTGAACCCCCAAGAGGGTTTGAAAGGCATGTTTTCTTTAAATTACTCCATTTAACAGAGCCAGAAACTGTAAAAGAAATTCTTAACATGATGTTGCATCAGAAATCTTAAGCAAATCTTAATTTAAAATCCTGATATTTCAGTAACATCACGTTTATTTTACGTCTCATGTAAGAATTGCCAAAAATAAAGTCTGCACAAACCAGATTCTGTAAAAAAATAAACGTTTTTCACTCCTCAGTGCACTTTCCAGCTGAACTGTAGGCTGTGTTTCGTACTTTATTTTGTCTTAAGTAAGAAAACAAATTTTAGATATAAGCAGTAAAATACCAAAAGCATGTCGAGCCATCTTTTTTCCCCAGTATAAGTACCATCTTGGAAATAATGGTTGTACATGTTATTTTTCAGGTTTTCACAATTTCTGTAAATAAATAATCACTTTACAGGATTCTAACTTTATTGTCCTGCACAAAGGCCATTTTCAGTTCCTCTCGCTGTGGTTGTGCTGCTTCCATAGAAGTGCAGGACTTAATATTGCAGTGAACATGAGCCCACATTGAGTCAGGTGCAGAACAACCTGGAGTTCACAGAGTTAAGCAAACAAATGGTACAGAATCATCAAGAAAGAATCTGCATACTTGCACCTAAAAGACAGATAATTCTAAAGAAGGGGAGACAGTCGGGTGAGTGGAGGTGATGCTGCCTACCTGTGGAGTGCTCGATCTTCACCGCCACGCAGGCCTCCTCATCGACGCTCGTCGTCTTGCAACAGGCGGCTTTGCCTTTCCTCTCTGCAACAACAAAACACCAGATTCAACACAGAGAGACGCTGACACACTTGCTGACTAAACCAGAGAACAGGAGGATATTTTAATCCTTCGACCCGCATGTGAGGCGGGAGCTTCCAGCGGATTCAGGCAACCCCATGTTTTATTAAAGAGGAGCACCAACTCAGGAGTTAAAATGAAGATGGGCTGGAGGTAGGGGGGATAGGAGACAGGAGTAAGCATGCCGTGCTGTTTTATTTTCCCTACAGGCTCTCTCTGGCTTAAACAGCAGACGCAGCAATAAAGTGGTCAAACGTGGAACTGGAGAAATTTAAATGTGTAGCAAAAGCTTTGGAGCTCTACTTCTGGCAGCTGCATTTATCAGGATCTGAAATAGACTCGTGTTTGTTTAGAGAATGAAAAGGAAAATACCACCCCTCGGAGATAGAACCCCTAATTAGTCTGTCTGTGATATGTAGGGCATCGTCTGTGGGGAGCGCTAACACTCTTTCAACACAGCCGTTTAATATGCACATAAAAGATTAAAGAGAAAATAGCAACGCTCGTAAAAACAATAATGGGCTCACGAGCATTAGGAAGCCCTCAAATGCACACACACGCGTACATATATAACTCAGATACAATTAAACACACACACAAATCTGATCTAATATCAAAGCTTAGGGATGATCAGTGCAAATGTTGACAGGCTGCAACATGTGCAAGTGACACAATATCACAGCAGCAGCAAATCAAAGCTGAGCTGAAGAGTTTTCTTCACAACGTGCCGGCATTCACGATGCAGTAAAGACGGAAATGACACCAATCGATCATGTTTCATAAACTTTCTCCCCCTGTTTGTCTTCAGGGTTCTGTCATGTCTCATTTTAGGAAGAAAGCTGCCATCAGTTCATATTTCTACACTGCTGATACTAAAGCAGGACAGTATGGCATCAGTACATTGTGTAAGAAAGCAAATAGCAATGAGTATTTAAAGTACAGCATTTTCTCATAGCTTCTGTTTAATACTGTTTCGTGCATATTCAGAATATTCTGCAGCCTCCATGATTTCACCCACAGGTTCCCTGAACGGCGGCTTTAAAGCTCAGCAGTTGCCTTTCTTGCAGACTCCTCCTAACTCCCAACTAATCCAAAAATGAGTCAAGAAGTAGAGGTTGAGTGGAGCTGAGGACGGCCATGCAAATTTCTCTGACTCACAGACTGTTCTGTGACAGTACCGACCTCAGCGATCATGCTCCCAATTATGCATAACTTTCAGGTTTAATACAATTCAAATGGGCGCGTCGTATAAAGAGTCACCCCCCTGTGAAGCTGCTATGAAGCCGGTAATTACCTGTAGAGACCACATCTGGTTATTGTTCCAGACTGTAATCATGTTTATTTCTGCTGTAAAGTCGGCCGTTTTTCACATGGGGGGTCTACTGACTCGATTTTGGCAACAGCCTCAAGTGGCCATTCGAGGAACTGCGGTTTCAGGCGCTTCACTTTTCACCCCCAGAGGTTGCCTCATGGGCTAGACTGAGACATTGCAAAAACTACAGGGTGGATTGCCATGAAATGTGGTTAGCGTTTAAACCCAATACACTCTTTGCACATGTATTTGATGAAGCAGGTGCGTGGGAGAGAGACGAGCGCATCCAAAAGATTCAATCAGCCTCCCACACTTTTCAGTGCTGGACCTTCATCAGGCAAATTGCTTCTCCTGATGAAGGTCTAGCACCAATAAATGCAGCTTTGCAAATCAGACGCTGTGCTGGAGTCTGATTGAATCTCTTGTAAACAGTCCTGAATTGTAAAGACTTATAATGCCACAAGCAGGTTAATTATTTTTCTGAGCCAGTAGTTCAACAAGTCCTTCAATTAAACCTTAAAAATCTATCATCAGTCATGCTGTCATGTGTTTTTTGCACCAACAATACTAGTCGGTTACATAAATGTGGAATAAAGTGCAACGTGCTGCACATTTGGGTGGCATTTAGAACACAATTTAGTTAATGAATAATGGGACTAATGTTTTTAAATGTCTCTAAAGTAGCTGTACGCAATATTTTTTCAGACAATATTTAAATGTATTATTGAATTGTGCTCAATTTGATAATTTTCTGACCATTTTCTTACTTTTAGACTTGTCAACTTGTGTAAATCTTCAATTAATCAACCAGGAAATTAGTCCCTGATGCTTTCACAATGTAAAGAAAGAATACAAATTAGAATTCATACGGATTTCTGGATGGATAAAAACAGGAAGCCGGTGTGGCGTAGTAACAATATGAGTCAGCCTGCACACGTTTAGTTGCTAAATCTATCTTTCACCAGACTGTCCACGCATCACTTTGCCATTGTTTCCTGAATTAGATTTTGCCGTCAGTGTTTAGCGCCGCGTCCGTTACGACACGGCAGCGCTGAACCGACATGACATAATGGAGTGTGGATAATGACACGTAAAAGAAAAGTGGACAATCTCAGCGGGAGGTCCTGCAAACAGTCGAGAGGAAGTGCAGATGACGTTGTGATGGTGTGTGTGTGTGTGTGTGTGTGTGTGTGAAGGGGGGGTATAATATCCTGGCTCAAGGATTAAAGGAGGGCTTTCTCCACCCACCATCTGGACTCCTCATGACAGGCCTGCCTGCTGTTCCAACACACAGACACACACATTTAACTTATTCTACTGTTCACAAGTTGAACCCCAATCCGTTATATAAGTTCCCTGTTGAGAATATAAAACATGTAAGCAGCTTATCAGAAGCATTATGTACACATCAGCCCACCAGACTCCCCTCCTCCGGCTGACTCTGAGCCGTGTGACCAGAGTCATCCTACGCCTATTGTTTCCTGAGGTGGGGGATGTGTTACTACAGCCAGCATCCACAACACACGAGGAGAAAACGCCCCACGCCGAGCCAGAAGACGAGTGACCACATCCACGAGGGCCGAGAAGGTGGAATGAGTAGGTTTCTGGGATGATGTATGACGAAGGCGCAGCTACTGGCCTGACCCCTAAAACTTCCTCTTCCTGACAGTCAACGTCCTGTTTTTTAAATTTCTATAGTCTTGGTGTCTCAGCTCTTTGCATAAGAAGCTCTGACAGCCGCAGCAGACGGAGAAACTGACCAGAAATCACATGCACACAGGCATCTACTGGCTGTTTTTTGGGAAGCGATGTCGGACATGGGTCACCGTGAGGTCTGAATGCTGAGAAGGAAAGTCAGAACCATATCTGCCCGTTGACAAGGTGCTGCTGAAGAAGAAATAATCTGAATTACAGTAACAGGAAAAAAATAAGGGCATTTACCGAAATTATTAATTGTGGAAGTGAGAAAGCTGGGTAGAGTTTCTCCATTGATGTCAGTAAATACAAACCGCACATGTGAGGGTGCACAGACAGCTTCTGACTCATTTACATCAAACCTTACATCTGTCTCATTAGATCAATTAAACCGGCATCCAAGGGGGGAAGTTATAGAGAATCTATGTGATGGCATTAAAAGAAGATAGAAATCATAGCGTTTACATTCCAACCAGGTTTCTCAATGAAAGCTTTTGAAAACAAACAGAAGCTCTTCTCTTTCACAGCCACTTTAAAAAGCCCCTCTGGTGGAAATCCAGTGTTTACCTTGTCTACACGTCCATATGGTGCTTTTTAAACATGTTAGAAGACACACTGTGACTGAAACAAGCATTCAGCACCACGGCTGAACATTTCTTTTCTTTTTAAAGATTATTTTTCTGCCGTTTTTGCCTTTATTAGTCAGGACAGTGAGAGAGTGAGACAGGAAAAGGGGAGAAGGATGGGGAAAGACCTGCAGCAAACTGTCACGAGCGGGAGTCGAACTCATGAACGCCGCGCCGGGGAACTATAGCCCCTGTTCATGGGTCGCCCGCTCAACCAGGTGAGCTATAGGGGCATCCATGGCTGAACATTTGTACCTTGAAACCGCAGCGAGCAAAAACCAAAACACGGATTCAGGCTTCCAGGGTTTCACATGTAAACAACCATTCCTCAAGTTGTTGTTGTTTACAGAATCTGGTCTTTTAAATGAGCCATGCAGAATAAAGTGATTTTTAAAAAAATTAGAAACACAGGTTTCAAGCTTAGACCTGTTAAAGTTTCCTGACAGTCATTGATGAGTTGTTCAAGAAAGGTCGGCTGAGTTGAAATCTGTCGATTCTTTTCATATTTACAGCGTTTGCTCTGATAAATGTTGTCACTTTGTCGATTATTTAAAGACAGCCTTCCTCTCCAACCTGCCAGTGGGATTTGAGGTTTACAGGGTTACGGTCAGGAGTGATTTTTTTTGTTTGTTTTTTTTTAAAGGAAAAGAAACAGAAAGCTTTTTGGTTCAAACCTCTCTGGTCTTCACCACCACTATGCACAGGTAGCTTATGTTTTATCTGTCTGATCTGTGATGATAGGGGCTTATCTGTGTCCTCTGATCTGTTTATACAGGACAGTTACTGAATTACGACAGCTATCAAATCTTCAGATCTGTGAACATATACGCAGCATCTCACAACCAAAAGTGGTGGAACAACCCTTTGATCGTTTCGGTTGACTGGGCGGCTGCTGTTTGCATTTACCTGCTCTATAGCAACACGGCTGCTACGATGTCGAACACAAGGTGACTCATGACCCGGATCTGACCCTTAGTCAGAAAATGACCTAATCCCGCCACAGTCAGGTGTTTTCTCTCCTCCCTCTTCAGCAGCTGTTACATAACTCACATCAGAAACTATGCTATGGATGCATTAGCAGAACCAGATGCCAACCAAAACAGAAATAAAAGATTTCTCTGCACGCAAAGGTTTGCTCTAAACCAAGTACAGAGAATGGAAACCACACATATATCACCACACGAAAACACACAATTCATCCAAATTAACCTGTAGTTTAAAGATGAGGATGGCAATATTCTATTATCTGTCTATATATATATGTTCAACTAATCCTGCGAGAAGATTAAAAAAAAAATCAACAAGTAATTGATCCAAAAACCATTACAGCC